AAATAAAATAGTGACCAACATTCACAGTTACGCCGGACATCGTTCGGCATTAGACTCGTTTAGTGTGTGGTCGAGTTTCGTGATAAATGTCCTCCCCATGTGACCTGCTGACATTTGAGCTGAGGAGTAAACCTCTCCCCTTCCTCTTCTGCTTTGAAAACGAACGAAACCGGATTTGCTCAGTCATTCCACTTTGCACCCCAACCACCAAATCCTAGCCCAACACGTAAGCCACATACATACCTTTACTGTTTTTGACTGAACAAGCGCGAGAGCGCACTGACCAAGATTTACGACCAACATACTCAGCGAGATCTGAAAGATATATTTAAAAGTTAAATTACACTTTTGTACTCCTGTTAAATTCTCGTCGCCAGTTATACATATATATTTTTTTACTTTGTTAAGTACTTACATTACTGCAAAAAAATCCCTGTACAGCCTTTTGTAGACCTCCGCCATCATCTTGCAGCAGCCAAGCGAAACGGAGAAGATATCGACTGAGAGCCATGGCACATCCCGGTCTCGTCTCAGGAAGGAATACTCCACGCCCGGAGTCGATGTAATATTGCAGCGACTGCTGGTCGATTCTACACTTCGTAAAAAGTTTCAAAACCTCGCCTTGTAACCTACAAAGAAAATAGAAAACATCGTTGCCTACAAAGCAATGCTTTGTAATAGACCATTTCAGTCTACATCTGTGTTCAAGGCAAATGGGGGAGAAAAAAAGAGCCAAAACAGATTCAAAGCACAAGGCGTTACGGCAGCACCTTGTTCCGGATTGGTTCTCTTCTTCCTCGCACGCCTTTACGGACAGTCTAGCAACCCCACACTGCAAACGCAGCAGTCGACACAAACACGTAAGTGTACATGATCCACTGCTGGCTTGACACTATTTTGTTAATCAAATAGATCCCTAGCTCCGATACGGTTTAGTTAAGAGAAAATCTTCCGAAGGATTTTGATTCAGAATGTGCCGAAATGGTGAGAAAAATTTTAACGGACGAAAGTTTTCTTCTATGTGCATTCTGCTTTCTGAAGTTACTCCTTATGAAACCATGAAAAGGGAATCAAAAAGATGTATTTCATTTTGGGTCATTGTTAGAGAAACTCTAATAATAGAGCCTAACCAAGTACAAGACAAAGCCAAATTGATGAAATTTTAGTTCAAATCTAGTTTAGATTTACTTTCCAGAAATGCGCCTTGGACCATAAAGAATGTCATTTTTTTTGGACGTGCCGCTTTTTACTTTGGACCCTCTTTGATCCCCTTTATTAGTGGTGGTTGCCAGAATTTTGGAGGATTTGCACCGATCGTTTCGCCGTCAATGAGTGCCAGTGAAAACAGCCCAAGTCGCTAACTCATCTCCTTGTGTTAAACAGACTAGTCAGACATCAGGTCGTTTCCATAGCCTTTTCAAGGGAGAATGGCTGTGTAAGGAAGACCCTAACAAGGAAGCTGACGGATAAACTAGCCTTACAACGCACGCTGACGTTCTTCACCTGATGGCTCAAGCCGGCGAATGCATATCGTGCGTGCCGCAAGCGGGGGGGGGGGGGGGGGGGAGTTGCGTGCGCCAATGGGCATTAATGACAGCAGCTTTATTATGTATTCCAGCGCGCGCACGCACGGGCAAGGGGTGCCAATCACTCGAGACGGCACACAACATGATAGGTCGAGCTCAGACGTAGGCAAGTTTACATTTTCGATCCCAACTTCGTTTCTTTTAGGCTGAGCGACAGCCTATTACTCCCGACGGGTGTACGACTTCGACCAATCTCTGTACACCTAAAAAACAATCCCTCATCCAATAGTTTAAAATGGGTCAGAAATAATTTTTGAGGAAAACAAATGACAACAATTGGAATCGCCACTCCAAAATAGTAGAAATTGACACTGACATCACAAACATCAACCAAGACACGGAAATTTGAATTTTAGGGGGTGGGGGGTAAAAACCACCCCTAAAATCCAATCCTAAGGGATGAAACTTCGAGAGCTTCGGGTAAAAATGTTCTGATGGGTCTAGACAACAAGTATGCGAAGTGCCTTGATTTCATCACAATTTGCAGTTTTGCGTTAGCGTACCACGGTGCTACCGGGCCGCCCGACCGGCGCGACCCTGGCGGCCGTTTGTGTCACTTTGAACTTCAATTACTCGATGTTCTGCCTCGTGTTCCCCAGGCTTTTCTACTCCGGATCCAACACTGTTTACGAGTCCAGGTGCCATTGCAGGGTGGTTCCAGGGCCCTTGAACGCAACTATGTCGTTTAGCACAACATTTCATCTTTGATCTTACTTCCCGTCCGATCTATGATACTTAGAGTCGCGTTCGGCAGCTAGAAATGTTCCTTGAAACCTCCACATTCAAATGAAAAAAAAGTTTATCTAAAAATATGCATTTTTGGCCGAGATATTGGCTGTTAAGGGCGCCGGAGGCGCGAAAACGCCGCGGGTGTGCACCGGGTTGCCTACCCGGACCTCCCGTAAGGTGCAATGGTGGAAATTTTTGATGCCTCTGCGGGTCAAATTCTTTATTTGGGCCATAAGTAGCCGTGTGCAAAGCGGCATCGCGTGCGAACGATTTGCCACTGTTCGTATCTCTGTGTGATGTACCCCGTCCACTACTATGCAAGCCGTGGTCTGGCGTACAGCTACCTAGTGTATCTAGACTAGTAGAATGCTGTGCATTAAAGGCTGAGTGTGTCTCCTGATTTGTATGAACTTAAATAAATTTAAAAATTCAAAGTAATCTAACAATTTCAATTTGCCCTCTGTTTGTGAATAAAAACCTATTCTTAACCCTTTTACCGAGGGGGTATTCACTCCCGTAATACCCTGTACACCCCGCCAGGGTATTACGCGGTATTACTTGTAATGTAATACCGAAAAATAACAAAATATGCTATAAAGTGGTATAATTTTGCGTGTAATACAGGCGTAATACCCGGTAATACCTCGTAATTTGGTGTAATACCGAGTACTCTGTACAAGTTTTATGGTAGTGAATACCCCCTCGCCTTTTACTACTTTGTCTTTATGCATGACCTGTCCGTAAAAGGGTGAATTAATAGATGTCAATTAAAAGTATTGCTCAGTAACAACCGTCAAATTTAGGCTGATCGATTAGCGAAGCCTATTACTCCGTCTGGTCGGAAAAAAACTTTGTCTGTCTGTCTGTCTGTCTGTGTGTCTGTCTGTCTGTCTGTGTATCTGTCCGCACGAAAACTCAAAAACAAAGTGCGCGAGCGACCTGGGATTTTCTGGGTCGTTTTGTGTCATAACAAGCAGGCCCGCCCTTCCGCCAAACGGAGTTGCCAGCTCCACTTCGCTGCGCCTGCAACTCCGTTCGGCAGGGGCCGGGCCTGCTTGGCCTGCCGGCGGCGATGGTCGGGCCTTCGGCCCGACCATTACAGTCCCACGATTTACTGAAGTGCATAATCAAATAAATAATGTGACGGGTAAATCACTCATATATATTATATATTTGAGTAAACTAAAGCGTCCGGCGGGGGGCCTGCGGCCCTAGGAATTTGCTCCTTGGACATGACAAAAGACTGTAACGGGGCAACACCGTGACTACACCCCACCCTTCTGCTTTGCTTAAGAATTAAAAAAAACGAACCCGCGCAGTTTTTTGGTTGTATATTGTTTGTCAAACAGTCCTAAAACTTGACTGTTTGCCATTGTTTTCAATATAACCACGTCTAGGGCCGAAACAGTGAAAGATACGGCAAATCCGAAGGTAGTTTCTGATTCAGAATGTGTTGTTTTGGGGGGGTACTTCCTCTGAAATTTTACGATTGGACGCCTCCTTGTACGTCTTTA